GTATGCCGTATGCATGTAAGGTGTGAGTGGAGTGTCATTGGTTATGAATTCTCCAGGTGTGCATCCAAGGCATCATCACCAACCATTGAGGACGTTCGCGCCATTAATAAAGCAATCCGAACCATCAAAACCATCCCGCTTAGCGTGAGATTCTGGCCACTCCGTGGCAAGACGCGCATAGTTGGTTATTCAGACGCATCCTATCGCAACAATGAAGATAAATCATCCCAACGCGCGCGTGCTATCTTTCTGGCAGAAGAACGAGATCTTCGCCAGGGCTCATCGAACTCAAGAGGCTCTCTGATCGATTCTGAGACGCATAAGATCACCGCCACAACCATGTCCACCACTGTTGCTGAATTGCATGGACCGATGCGTTGTCACGGTTCATCCCTTTTTCTTCGCGGTCTCTGGTCAGACATTGCAGGCAAAATCGCAGATGTTCACATCCGTACAGATGCAAATAATCTTTGTACAGCTGCATCAACAACCCATCAACCTGAACAGAAGGAAACAGTGCATTTGATACAAATGTTGCGAAAGGAAGGCAATAGCGGACAGATGCATGACCTGCATCCGCAGCCAATTTGGTTTACACCATTCCGACCTTTGCGATCTTGCATGTGCAACAGTCTTGCCGACATGCCGCTTTTCAGCAACATCTTTGGACGACCATCCAACATGATGACTCCTGAGCCAAAGCCGAAAAGACGTGCATCCCCCCTTCGGGAATCTCCTGTTCATGATGAAGGAGAAACAAGCGATTTTCCCATGGAGCAAATCAATGATGATCGTTCTACAACATCCCACCCTCAGGAAAACGCAGATTCAGACAGATTTGGGAGACAAGACTGAATCCGAAGCAGAGGAAGAAAATACGAAAAAGGAGCAACCTTCCGAGGAAAAGCCGAAACTCTCACTGAAGCCCGTGCCGCTGCTAAGGCTCACACCGAAGAGCATGCCTCTCCGAAAGCATAGTTGCCACACAGCCGAAGCCCAGAATAAGACGACCGGCGCCACCAGCCATTGAAGAGGACCGGAAAATCACTCCGTTCAGCAAGGTGCCCATGACTTTTATGTTCCGTGCAACGGGCAAAGAGGAGCTCATGCGTTGACATGGGAATAGAAGTCCTGAGCAAACTCCTTGATCTCCGTCTCGTGCTGCTCTGAATCTTCACGCTCGAGGTGCTTCTTCATGGCCCAGAGGTTGTTCTGGGTGACATCAAAGGTTGCAATGATACTCTGCTGAGGGATCTGCGCCACGTTCCCCTGAAATCTTGACGCCGTAATGACTGCCCTGGGTAAATGCATGAACGATCAGGGCATTTCGTCCAGCAGGTACATGAGCCAGTCAGTGCTGCATCGGATGGCTCATCGTCCAGGATGACATCGTCGATGCATGCTAGATGGAGGCGGGCTCTTCCCCATGGGGTTGAGCTTTTCCCCGGCTTGAGTCCCTCTTCCATGATTTTGATACAAATCCAAAAAGACAAATCCGAAAAAGACAAACCCGAAAAAGACAAATCCATTGAGACCAAGAAGCGACGGCATTCCACGGACCCCGAAGATCAAGATGATGAGAGAATGGAATCCGACAGGGAGAGATCCGTCAAGCACAAAGTCACAGTGGAATTTCACAGCATCGACAATTTGAGGGAGTTCAATTAAGGATGAGTACCTTGACCGAGACATGAGCAAGAAGGAAGCAAACGATGAACTCGCATCCACCAAGGAGAGCTTCGAAATCCTCATGGAAAGGTACCATTGCTAAGGGATTTGAACTCATGTGAGATTGATTCATTGGCTCACATTGATCCGGATGTCAACATCGATGAGGAAGAGTTCTTCTTCTCTCACAAGGGCGAGAAACCAACAATGGACGAATTCAGGAATGCCCAGACGAAGTCGGGATATCCGATCCGACTACCTATTGGACTGAAGTCGCTTTCCACTCATTCAGATCCAGAAGTCATCAAGGCATTCACTGACATTCTTGGACCCCTGATCCGATCGCCCTATGTTCGAGCCCGACAAGAACCACGAGTTCCTTTCATCCATGACACTCAACTTGCTCACCACGAACCATGGAAACTATACAAAGAACCCGAAGTTGAACGGCCGAGAGTTGAGGAGCATGCCCATGAAGGAAAGGGCCCTCACGAGGATGCTGTTACACAACAGTGCGCGCATCATCTGTCTTAATGAGGCCGAGGCATTCCTTGATCCTGAAGATGAGAGATCCAAGGAGCTCATAAAGCTGTTCATCCACATCAAAGCCTGGAACGCAAGGCCCATCGCAACAAGCATGCCAGAGTTGAACTCCTGGCTCGACACATCTCCGAAAATCCAACAACTGGGGTACAACTTTCGGCATGTTCAGATGCTACTTTGGCACAGAATCCAACTGCACAGATCCCGAGTACGATGCACCCACGTCTGATTGCTTGGCATCCACTGGACCAACCATGTTCGCAGATGAACACAAGCAGAAGCATATCGGAAAAGATTGCCGCCGCGCACCGTTATCAATGGCTATGGGCATAACAAGGAAATCATCATCATCCATTCTGAGAGGACAAATGAATTTCGCGGTGTGTTTCCCAGGGCAAAGGATTATCCGAATGCGCACTTTGATCGTCGCCATGTGACACGAGCAGGACTCCATATATGCAACAATTGGAGTTTTCCATGTCCATCCGAACATTAGTTATGGAGCAGTTAGAGAAGATTTTCAGGATGGCAGAGTACACATGCGATGCGATCACAGGAGATGGCAGCAGGTCCGTGAACACATACAGCCAGCTGCAGCATGTGTGTCGCCCTGACCACGGTCTACTCAATCACTGTCAATCACATTGTCAAGGCATACCAAATGCTCTGGAATGCGACAGACGAATGCCTATTGAAGACCGACTGGACATCAGCATGGAGACATCGCGCGCCTTGAAAGCCATCATCCGGCACATCCTTCACATGAAGACAGGATCTGGATATGATCGGACATTTCCGGATTGTATGGTGGCCTTCACCTTCAGCAGAAATTCAGGAAGGGCGAGCTGTACATGCTGGACGATGAGCAACTGGACAAAATGGAGATTGACACCATGCCTTTCATTTCCGAGAGCGATCCAAGCACATCAACAACGAAATGTTTATGAATGGCTCGTGTGATTCAGATTCACACAGTCCACTAATGGTCTACATCCGGAGCCGTGCTGAAACCAAAGAACGAGATTCTCAGCGATCCAAGGAATACTACCGCAAGAAGAAGGAGAACGCGTGGAATTCCTGGGGTCAATCCAAGCAGTACAACAAGGCGCGTGACTACAGCGGATGGCAGAACTATGATGATTCATCCTGGAAAGAATCTGCAGATTACGGCAGTGCATCCGACAGCAGCCAACACCACTGGTATCCCAAGAAGGGCTGAGACGCACCGTTTGCCTCACGCAGCACACATTCGACCTCCTTTGGTCTTAAGAATGTGCCGTAATGCCAATTCAGAACCTCGCTGAGAGATCACCGAAAACGGCGCAACGAATTCCGACCAAGTGATCCTCACCATCAACAAGACTATCCAGTGAGAGGTCAGTAGTTTCACATCACTGACACAGCTAGGTATCTCCCGCTTTTACAAAACTTTCTCCACCATCTTTTGATACATCTAGGTAACCGACATGTGTACAAAGCATTTTCCAGTTGCCACAGAAGAGGACAATTCATCCGAGACAAAAAGAAGGATGAAGCGCGAGTATTTTAATTTTGACACGATATACAACATCAGTCACCGGCATTCGAACAAGTTCAAATGGCCACGGTCAAAGGCCATGAAGCCAATATTGCACAGGAATTAGCTGCTGGAGGCCAAAAGAAAGTTGTGTCTGTTTTGTGCGGGCAACATCATCACGGATTTGACTATTTCCCAATCATGTTACATGCTGCTATTGCTGAGGATGTCAGTTGCGGCCGAATACCTTTTCACTGGCCATGTGCAACATCTGAGTGGAATTCATGGCGGATGGATAATTGTGGGTACACTATCTTTCTGTGAAAGCGACATCTCTGGCTACGCAGTATGACAGTTTCCATAAGTGATGTTCGGCTATCCCTTGAAAACCAAGCTGAAAACAAGCGCACGCCGCTCGCGCCGTAGTTGTCGACCTTCAGGGAATCAAGCGCAGTCATCACGGTATTCACAGGAGGGCATCGTTCTGGGCAACGGGTAAGGACCACTACAGCGGACCCTACAACTACTTGGGACATTGGTTACCGTCAAGGAACTGTTGCGCCCGCCGCTGGCCGTGGCTAAACGCTATACGGGGGTCAGCCACCGCGTTCATCCTGGTTACACTGGAACAAGGTGTCTCTCAAGGGAAGGTTATTTACTGCCACGGTATTTTCCCGCCTCCCGGCACAATGCGTCTCCCACTCATGACGTTTGGACCCTGCCCTGAGCATACCGTTCCAATGCGTTTCCTGCGAGCCGGTGCATTCGGCCAAGGGGCTGGTCGAGCCATTCCAGTGCGTTCCAGCCAAAACCATGAAACCGCGCACTCCTGGTCAGCACGTGGAGCCCGAATCCCGCACCGCAGCAAGTCCGCAGAAGGTTCGCTGTTTTGAGGTGCGCGGCGCGTTTGAACGTGCTATTCCACTTCGCGCCCTTCGGAGACCGTTTCGAGACTGCCCGCTCTTGGGAGGTAGCCTTTGCGCTTGCGGCCATGGCTTTTCCTTGCTATTTCTTTTTGATTGCTATACTTTCTCAGATTTGCGCTCTGGGCAATCTCGGGTTCAACTTGTCGTGTAACGTAAGTTTGGCAACTGAACTTCCTTTGATTCTTTGAAATGATACCTTGGTGATAAATCATTAGACGGACGGTACTATGTTCAATCAGATTTGTTTCCTAGAATGTCTCACCTCAGACCCATTGCTTCGGCCATTTTTCTGCGGGGAAGCAAGGCAAGCGTGAGCTAGTGACTTAATCAGCCCAACCTTGCGTGAGGATGCTTACCAGCTCTTGGAGCAGCTGGGGGCTGGAAACTTTGGCAGCGTGAGAAAAGCGGCCGATCTCCAAAGCGAGGCGCTGCTAGGAATCTTGCGGCCTCCCCATTGAACTGCTCCACGGCAAGGCCTTCGTTGCAGTGAAGTCGGGCTACTCCCTGGAGCATGAGTCAGTCCGCAGCCCAGGCTCTTTGCACAGCCTTTGCCAAAGCCTTCATGTCGGAGGCCACGCTGAAGAAGATGGACCACCCGAACATCGTCAAGCATGTTGATTTCTTCTACGAAAACAGGACATCCTTAATGCCTGCAAAGTTGCGACGGCAACTTTGCCAAGAAATCTTGGGCCAGTGCCTCTTGTTTGAAAGGACGACTTGCCATTTGGTGCTGGAGTTGTGCCCTGGTCGGTGGCTGGTTGGCATGGAGGCCACTGCAGTTTTTGAAGTCCACAGTGGCAAGCGCTCGGATTTGCTGTGCAGGAGAGGCATGCCAGATTTTATATGGCTGGAGCAGTCTTGGCAGTAGGATATATGCACAGCGCTTTGGCTGCATGCGGATGAGGTTTTTCGTACCACCTGTTGGTCAAAGAATAGAAACACAAGGCAAATTCAAAGGAGCGCAAGCAAACAATAACGGCGTCACCTTCCCAACGCGTAGCGATGTTGCACGCAGAAGCCGGGCTTCCTGAGGGCTGGGGACTGGGAGTGCGTAGCGTGTCGTACATGTCTGGGCAATTATTCGTTTGGATGTGCTCGCAGCGACCGGCTGTGGGCGACAAATTTGTAGTTTCTGCCCAAAGTGAGCGTAGGCCACAACTTCAACACAACAGGCGCAGTTTTGCCCTTATGTTCAACGCCTACGCAATTAGCGCCAACCTTCAAAATGATCCCGCACGGCCATTTGCAACTTGCTGCGACTCATAATAAGCGTGCCGTCTAAACATGTGTGGCTGCAAGTCCACATGCAGCCTAGGAGCACTGTTGCAACGCCTTGGGAAAGAGAAAGGGTGCTCTCTCTCTCTCTCTCTCTCACGAGCCAAAAGGAGTCAACTACCTGGTTTGATACTGCGTGTAAGCAGTTACACGCAAAGCCCCAGATGGAGGAGGAAGACCACGAAGATTCGGACGAGATGGAAAAAGTCGTCATCGAAGAGGTGGCCAGCAGTGAGGAAGAGACCGCAGCTTGGAAGAAGCAGCAAGAGGTGCCTGCGGAGGAAGATGATGCGGCCCGGGCAGGGTACCAGTGGGCAGTGAAGGAAAAAAAGGCAGCCGAGCTTTTGAGCGCCAGCATCAAGATGGAGAAAAGTGCCGATGTCCCTTTGGAGACAAAATCCTACTATGCGAAGTGGGCTTTGCAGGAGGCCCAAGGAAGGGACGAAGCTCAGGAGAAAGCAAAAATGCTTGGGAAATCCGCAGAGGATTTCAAAGAGCTGGCAACTCTGCACCCATGGCGTGCTGGTGGAAAGGAGCGCCAGCAAGAAAAAAAGAATGAGAATGAGAAGAATGAGAATTAAAAGAATGAGAATGAAAAGAATGAGAATGAAAAGAATGAGAAGAATGAGCAGCCGGCGGTGGTGGCCACTCAGCAGGATGCGTTTGAAAGCTGGCAAAGATCCTACTGGGGGACAGGTGCTTGGGCGCGCGACCACGGCTGGGAGGAAGAGCCCGCGAAGGGTAAAAAAAATAAGGGACGGAAGCGAAAAGCTTGGTTGGAAGCTCAGATCGATTCTTTGAAGGTGAATGGAAGGTGGGTTGGACCTGGCCATCCCAGCGCAGTGGCAAAGACCATCCGGCTGGCCAAGGACTGCCTTGAGAGATCACATTGATTTGCCATGTTTTTTTGGGAGTGTCCTTTTTTGTGTGTGAATCTACCCTGCAGGAAGGCGATACTTTCAAGAAGCCCGAGAAGCCCGCAGCAGATCCGTCGGAGAACAAGGCCAGCTTTATTTTTTTACGGTTTTGATACTTGTGCAAGACGCTTGTCCTGACCAGGCAGATGCTTGAGTGGCCAGATCAGATCACGATACCGTGGAATCTTCGAGCGTGATGGGAAAATGCATGCCAGATGTGCTCAAACTTGTTTGCCTGGTCAAGTTGCCATGGTTCTTGCATCTTGCCAAACATGTCTGGGGTGTAGGAGCGTGCTTGGACAGCTGCTGCCTCAGACAAAAGGCCTCCCTGGTGGGAGGATTTGTTTTTTGACAAGGACTACCTCCTTGGCAGGAGGCTTAATTGGTATGGTCTTAGATTGACTTGCGATCAAAGATGCATTTGTTTGTCTTTTTGGCATGTCTGCATCTTTGATTCACATTGCAAGGCTCAGTGCCGGGGAAAACACGCGGCCGCCGGAAGCGAACTCAAAGCCCCCCTTCTGCAGAGCGCGTTCAAAACGTGGCCAAAAAGGGTCACATATAACACGACATGTGGCTGGCCGTCAGAATTTGAAAAAATGTTTCGATTTACTTGTTGAGACTTTCATGACAAGTCTTTGTCTTGAGGCGGGCCCTGTAAATCCATTAAATCAGCATGGCAGCGCAAAGCGCAGCGCGAGCATTCTTGGTGTTCCTCAGAGACACTTGTCCGTCTTCGTGATCATGCGGTTTTCCGCGCTAGCTTGGCGCTAGCCCGCGCTAGCACTGGCGCTAGCGCTGGTGGTCCAGCGTGCGCCGCAAGCCATGCTGTCCCACCATCTGTTTGTTTCAAAACAAGTCTACGCTTTGAGGCGGGCCCCATTGTGTTTGCGTTGATTTCAAACAACTTGGGAACCAGCAGTTTGACGAACAGCCATGTGTTTGTAAATCGCAGCCCGGCCGCAAACAAAAGTATCAACAACAGTTTGGGTTTCCAATAATTGCAACACGCACGACGCAACGCCTGGGCGGACGCCGCCCCCGAGCGCACGCCGAAGCAAGTTTTCCGGATGCGGGTGACGGACAGAAGACGGCAAACGGGAGTGCACCTGCTTGTGTGAACGCGCGCGGTTGAGCAAGTTCAAGAATCGGAGAGAAAGGAAGTGAGTTGAAGCGAGCGAATGAGCGAACCAGTGAGTGAGCGCACATAAAAGCGAGCGCCCCCGGCAAACCTGAATGCCGCCTAGCTAATCACGAAAGCATCCCGTCGCCCAAGACTGAGCACTCCTAACAAGTCTGTCTAAGAGTTTGTAAAGTATGGCGCCTGCCATGAAGTGCGCCTGCGTGCACGAAGTGACGCGCGTGCCGCATAATCCAGCACTTGCGTGCCAAAAGTGTGTTGCGCCTGCCATGACAACCTGGCCTGCTGTTAAGGATCTTAAAGTTTTTCTGGAAATTTGTGGTAAGGTAAAAGACTTCTTTTTGCCGACGAGAAGACGTCATTTTGCCTAGATGGCATGGGGCATTTGAAACTGGCAAGCATTGAAAAAATGATCTTGAAGTTTTTTCTGTCAATTTGCGGTAAGGTAAAAGACGTCCTTTTGCCGACCAAAAGATGTCATTTTGCCTAGGTGGCATGAGGCTCTTGAAGCCGGCAAACATTGAAAAGAACTTGTGATGCTGAGGGCTGAGGGTGCATTTCAACGTTAGGTGAGAATTCAACGACAGCCGTTGTCTGTCCTGAATGCAAGCAACGCGATGCTGCCAGTTGGTTGACTGGAGGTGGGATCTCCAGGCCCGGATTTGCAGAATTACATGTAGCAGTGCCCATCAACTGAGCTATAACTGCAGCCTCGCCGTGTAAAATCTTAAGCTGAGACACGCGTGGCTTAATCTTTGAGACAAGCACATGACTACTAGCAGGCAGTCCGGGGCCCTCCGGACCCACAGCCGGGGCCTCCAATCCGGGCCCGCCCTCCGCCCAGACTTTTGTGGAACGTCACATGCTTGTCTCAAAGATTAAGTTCTTACCAGATTTGCCACAAGCCTTCACCAGACCTTCACCAGGTTTGCCACAAGCCTTCACCAGATTTGCCACAAGCCTCCACCAGATTTGCCATCCGCAAGGTTTCAGATTTGCCGCAAGCCACAAGCCTTCACCAGATTTGCCACAAGCCTCCACCAGATTTTACACGGCGAGGCTGCAGTTATAGCTCAGTTGATGGGCACTGCTTCATGTAATTCTGCAAATCCGGGCCCGGAGATCCCACCTCCAGTCAACCAACTGGCAGCATCGCGTTGCTTGCGTTCAGGACAGACAACGGCTGTCATTGAATTCTCACCTAACGTTCAAATGCACCCTCAGCCCTCAGCATCACAAGTTCTTTTCAATGTTTGCCGGCTTCAAGAGCCTCATGCCACCTAGGCAAAATGACATCTTTTGGTCGGCAAAAGAACGTCTTTTACCTTACCGCAAATTGACAGAAAAAACTTCAAGATCATTTTTCAATGTTTGCCGGAAAAAAGCACCATGCCACCTAGGCAAAATTTTGTCTTTGACCTTACCACAAATGTGCAAAAACAAAGTTTAAGAACGTGTTTCAATGCTTGCCGGCTTCAAAAGCCCCATGCCGCCTAGGCAAAACGACGTCTTTTCGTCGGCAAAAAGACGTCTTTTCTTTTACCTTACGACAAATTTGCAGAAAACACTTTAAGATCCTTAACAGCAGGCCAGAAAGCAGCCCGCCGCCCCAGCCCGACCGCTCCGATCTAGTCTGTCTTAAGTGCTGTGCCTGCTAGCCGAAAGCGCTGCGCTTGCAGTGAGTGAGTGAGCAAGTGAGTGAGTCATTGAGGAAGTGAGCGGGCGAGCTAGAACGAGAGGGGGGGGAACGAGTGCGTGAGCGAGAGTGAGAGAGCGAGAGTGTGTGAGCGCGCCAGAGAGAGGAGGGACGGAGTTGAGAGCGAACGCGAGAGAGTGCGACCGACAGAGTGAGAGGGAGCGGGAGCGGGGCGGGAGTGTGGCGGGAGCGGCGGGACGGAAACCACTCTGTTCCACGCTAGAGAGGGTTGTAACCACGACAAACAAAGTGCATCGTTACACCGACAAGTTTCATTGAAGACTATCCCGACAAGGTGCCGAATAAGAAGGAGTAGGAATAAGAAGAAATATGAAGGTCAATAGAAAGGAATAAGAAGAACTAAATAAGGTCAATAGAAAGGAATAAGAAGGAATAAGAATGTCAATAGAAAGGAATAAGAAGGAACAAGCAGGAATAAGAAGGTCAATAGAAAGGAATAAGAAGGAATAAGAAGGTCACAAGAAGGAATAAGAAGGTCAATAGAAAGGAATAAGAAGGAATAAGAAGGAATACAAAGGTCAATAGAAAGGAATAAGAAGGAACAAGCTGGAATAAGAAGGTCAATAGAAAGGAAAAAGAAGGTCAATAGAAAGGAATAAGAAGGAATAAGAAGGTCAATAGAACGGAAAACGAAGGATAAAGAAGGAACAAACAGGAATAAGAAGGCCAACATTAGAAAGGAATAAGAAGGAATAATAAGACATAAGAAGGTCAATAGAAAGGAATAAGAAGGAATAAGAAGGAATAATAATGTCAATAGAAAGGAATAAGAAGGAATATGAAGGAAGAAGCAGAAGGCCAATGGAAAGGAATAAGAAGGAACAAGAAGGAATAACAAGGCATAAGAAGGCAGTAGAAAGGAATAAGAAGGAATAAGAAGGTCAATAGAAAGGAATAAGAAGGAGGAAGAATGTCAATAGAAATCAATAAGAAGGAATAAGAACGAACAAGCAGAAGGCCAATGGAAATGAATAAGAAGGAATAACAAGACATAAGAAGGTCAATAGACAGGAATAAGAAGGAATAAGAAAGTCAATAGAAAGGAATAAGAAGGAATAAGAAGATCAATCGAAAGGAAAAAGAAGGAATCAAAAGGAATAACAAGGAATCAGAAGGAATAAGAAGGCCAATAGAAAGGAATACGAAGGTCAATAGACAGGAATAAGCAGGCCAATAGAAAGGAATCAGAAGGAATAAGAAGGCCAATAGAAAGGAAGAAGAAGGTCAATAGAAAGGAATAAGAAGGAACAAGCAGGAATAAGAAGGTCAATAGAAAGGAATAAGAAGGAATAAGAAGGTCACAAGAAGGAATAAGCAGGTCAATAGAAAGGAATAAGAAGGAATAAGAAGGAATACAAAGGTCAATAGAAAGGAATAAGAAGAATAAGAAGGAACAAGCTGGAATAAGAAGGTCAATAGAAAGGAAAAAGAAGGTCAATAGAAAGGAATAAGAAGGAATAAGAACGTCAATAGAACGGAAAAAGAAGGATAAAGAAGGAACAAACAGGAATAAGAAGGCCAATAGAAAGGAACAACAAGACATAAGAATGTCATTAGAAATGAATAAGAAGGAATAATAAGACATAAGAAGGCCAATAGAAAGGAATAAGAAGGAATAAGAAGATCAATCGAAAGGAAAAAGAAGGAATCAGAAGGAATAACAAGGAATCAGAAGGAATAAGAAGGCCAATAGAAAGGAATACGAAGGTCAATAGACAGGAATAAGATGGTCAATAGAAAGGAATAAGAAGGAATCTGAAGGAATATGAAGGAATAAGAAGGTCAATAAAAAAAAGTAAAAAAAAATAAGAAGGTCAATAGAAAGGAGTAAGAAGGAATAAGAAGGAATTAGAAGGAATAAGAAGGGATAGAAAGGAATAAGAAGGAGTGAGTAGGCCAATAGAAAGGAATAAGAAGGCCAATAGAAAGGAATGATCCTAGAAGTGAGTGAGTCTTCAAACGCGTCGATGGCGCCATCCCTTGCAAAAGATGTTGGGCGCTGCTGCGATGGAGGTGTGGGATGTTGGTCCAAAAGCATGTCTGGCTCGCTGCAACAGCAGTGGTGTCGGGAAACCGAGGCAAGTGTATCATTCATCGTTGCTTGGCAGAAGTATTGGAATGTGTTTGTGGGTGATTGTCAAGACTGGCCAGGTGACTTGAAGCCGCCAAACATATTGGTGAACCTTGGCTTCGCAACACAGTACAGTTGCGCGCTGAAAGGAACGTACTTGTGAGACGTGCGCGCGTCCTTGACGTTTTGAGGAATGCGGAAGGATGGCCAAAGCTGTCGGACTTCGGATCTTCAGCGCTGCTTGTTGGCGGTGTGGCCTACGGCCCGTGTCTCGGCAAAATGTTCCAGTCTCCTGCCCCGCTGAAAGGTTTGCGCTGGGCATCGATGTGTGGAGATTGGGTACGGCACACCCTGATTTCCTTGACACATCAAGAGTCCTTTGGATCACGAGGAAGAGATGCATGTCGGAACAGGCAGTCCAAAAGCAAGGTGAGATTCAAGGATTGCAAGGCTTGGTATAGGCTTGTTGCAAAGGGCGGAGGAACCCCAGCCAAGCGCAAGAGATGCAATAGCTGAGGGCGGGCGATGCGCTCTACAGCGCGCCAGAGTTGCTGGCAGCACGTACCAGCCGCACTGCGCCGTATTCTTGCGGCGCCGCTTGCCTGTAACTCTGGTTGCCGCGTGTTGGCATCGTCAAACTTGATGCAAGCCCGTCTTTGCTTGGCGAGTCAGGTCGACTTCTGGGCCCTGGGCATCGTGTTGTTTCAGTCACTGAGTTGGACGCACAGTGTGCGTTCCTGACATCATGTGAGAACGCGCGCTGTCTCGAGTCACCACCATGTGCAGTTTGCTATAGGTGGCTATTTACCCTTCAACGGTCAGACTGTTGGCGAAGTCATTCGGCAGGCCGAGCCTGGCAGTGTTTCACTCACCTTGGGCGTCTCTTGATGGGCATCTCTGGGCTGTCTCTTGTTGTCATTGACCGCAGGTCCAGGAAAGTATCCAGGCCGTTCGATTTCCGAAGACGGTTCAAGGTGGAGCCGCTTGGCGGATGGGATGCGAGTTGGTGCTTGATTTGTTCGAGCCCACGCTCAGGCCGGAGATATGGTGATGGGCCTGTGCACGAAGGACTTAATCTTGACGGATGATGTTTGCTCAGGAACGTTGGGGAATGGTGATGCCCTAAGCGCCAATTTGCAGGAGCCATCCAAGCGCTTAGGGTGCCCCGAGATCAAACAGCTTGGCTCTTAGTCAAACTCTGGCTGCTTGGGCTGCTGCAATGACCTCCATTTACATCGCCCATCCTTGATCGGCTTCTTTGAGGCATTCCTGGTACCGCGGGTTCGATTGGCCAGCGTTTCAGGCGCCTGATGCTACAGTGTCATTTCGCCTTTACAAGGAGAGAGGGGCCAGGCCAAAACCATGCAGCCGCCGCCTTACAAGCTGAGGGAGGACAAGGCTTGATCGAATTCGAGCGAATTTCAGATCTTGAATGGAGTCTGGCATGCTCACTCGCAGTGGCACCGCGTATTGTTTGCGCAGGACTTGTGCAATTGCGAGACACCAAGCAGTAGCAGGCCAGTCAAAAAAAGTGTTGGGCTGTGGTTTGTTGCTGACTTTCTTTTCACTTGTATACGCCTCGCGGTCCTTTATCAAACGCGTGTTGTTCGACTATTTTTGGTTCGGGAGTGGGTTGTACAACATCCCCTTGCAGCTTTTCCTGCTACAGTATGGCCTTTGTTGCCGAAGGTCGACGGACCTGCCACCATCCCCGGAGGTGCCCTGCTCGGGAGTTCCAGCGTGGCTCCGTTTGTTTGTTTGTTTCTGGAAGGCCAAGAGCGGCGATGTGGGAGGCGCGCGAAACGGCGGAGGGCGTGGGCTCATCGGGACTGTGCCTGAGGTAGCCCTTGGGCAGGGCTTGGAAAATCATCCCCAAGGTGGTTGTCTCAGGTTAAGGATAGCTTTGCTTGTTCCTGAAATGTGCCTGAAGGGAACATCTCCGTGAAGAGCTGGGTTTGGAATGGACTTCATCCAATTTGTTGCTTCTGATCCCTGTGAGCAGTTGGAGCCTGTGCGAGGAAGCGAGCAAGACATAGAAACTTGCGTGGAACACTGCGGTGGTCTGACCTTGGGTGGATTCCATGTAAGGAACCGGGGAGGGTATGTTGGGGACGCCGCGTATCAAATGTTTCGGCCGGCCATGCCAGGCGCCAAAGTGACGGAAGACGCCAAAGTGCGCGAAGGCAGAATCTTGGGCGAGGATCTTCCGGTTCTTGAGAGCTTCCTTTGGAGGTCGGACACTGCGCTGCCAAGCTGCCGTCGAGGGTCACAAGCTGCCCAGCGAGAGGACGGGTTTCCGTTCGGGGTGCAAGTGCAGTCTTCCAAGAATTGAAGTTATTGAACAAGTTGAGGAATGCCAATTCGTCTCAGGGCGCGGCTGGTTCTTTCATGGTGACTCTTGCAGTCACTCATGAACTCTTACAGTTTTATGTTGGTGACTCTTGCAGCCGTGCACGAACATCTACAGCGGTGAACGTAATTTGACTCTCGCAGTCTTCCACGCACTCTTTGAAATATGGCGACTCTTGCAGTCACTCGTGATGGCGACTCTTGCAGTCACATATGAGTCACATATGAACTGCAGTCAACAAGCTGTGTGACTCTTGCAGTCACTTCAAGCTGCTAAGCGCATGACTCGCGCATGGAACTGTCGCGGTGGCCCACGGTGCGCTCTGCAAGGAATTCAAGCTTGATAATATTGTTGCACGCCAAACACTGCTACGCCAGCAACAAGACTTTCAAAAACAAGTTTCCCGGCATGCCAAGCTGACTCATGAAAGGAAACGCCTGGAAGCGTGCTCCAAGCAGGCTGCTCAATGCCATGTCTGTCAGAAACAACAACGTCTTGCTTCAACCTGTCTGAGGGTCACAGCCACAGCTAACTAAGCAAACTGTTTGGCTCAATCTGTCTACGAGGACGTGGCTGAGGAAACTTCTTCAACTTGTCTGCCGGGAACCTGTCTAAAGAAACTTCTTGGTTGAAGCTGTCTGCCGGGGAAACCACTAAAACTTTCGGGGAAGTAGCTAAGGACATTTATTGGTTCAACTTGTCTGCCAAACAAATCGCCAAGAACGTTTTTCATGTTACTAGGCTGCTTGGAAAATTGCTCAAGACATTGTTTGGTTCAACTTATCTGCCGCGGGAGGGTTTTAAGATTAAAACATAGCTGAGGGAATTGATTGTAATGGCGAAGCGCAGTCTGATCATCTACCATGTATTTTGTTCAGGCCCAAAGGTAGCTAAACTGCAAAAACAAAATGGTAAAAGGTGGCAAGCCACTAATCGAGCGGAAAGCTACGGGGGACATCGCTTGATTGAAGCTTGCCCTACGCTGATTCGCAGGGCCACGCAGTATGCGGAGGAGGCCGAGGTGGGCGGGGGAAGGTTGCTCTCCTGGGCCTGGGCATGCCAGTTGGTCCAAAACGATGGTTTCCTGTGCTGATCACGGACAACACCCGGAAACAACTCACCCTGTAACGTCACAAGGGCAACGGGGCTTGGCCAACTGCCATGCCGTCTCGCAGGCGGATATCTTTACCGAGTTCTTCAACCGCATGTTCAGCTGCTGTACGCAGAGAACGAAGCTTTCTCCTTAGGAAGTGTATGAAGAAGCATCAGAATCGCAAACTGATGCATGACCCAGGTGACTTGCACGCAGCGCCTAGTGTGATTTGCTGCTGCAAGTTGGGTGTCCGGAAGGTTGCAGAGATTTGCAAGGTTTCCTGATTTCAGGTTGACGTTCCCTGATTTTTGTTTTATCCCTAGCCCAAAGCCTCCGTATGTCCAAACTCATCTCCTCAATGGTGCATCCACACCCTCATCCCCTTTTGGAGCAAGTGGTTTCGTCCATACCTCAACGCACCTCTCGCTGCGCAGAGCTGCGCAGATTTGACAAAGAATGACCTCCTGGGCGCTTCTTGTCAAAATTGCAAGAGCCCCAGGTCAACACAGTTCCATCAGGGATCTCACACGCAGAAAGCCGCTTTGAACGAAAGTGGGCGTTCCTTCCGGAAGGCGTTCTGATGAAGTTGCAGTTGCAGAGCTGCGGAAACTGCAAGCGGTTGTGCCGATCAGGCTCCAGGTCACGCTGTGACAGTAGTCGAGGGCCACGCCCAGCAATAAATTGCTTTCATACATACCCCCCCCCTACATTTGTTTTCATCTTCCACCTTCTACCCTTATTCGTTTTCATCATTTTCCTTTCTGTCCATCTCATCCGTTTTTTTTTTTTTATCATCACTTGTCCAAAATTTTCGCCATCCTTTTCTCCTTCCTCCTCGCCTCATTCATTTCACCAACTACCCTCCAAAATGTCATTTCCTCAATCTCCTCGCCTCATCCATTTCAAAAAAATAAATTTTGCAAAATATATTGCAAAAAATATTTGTCATCAAACAAATATTCGAACTGTCTAAAAACGATTTGTCCATTTCCCGGACAAAAAATAGAACAGCAACAACATCACTCCCTCCTTCGTTTCATCAGTTTCATCATATATTTTTTTAGGCGTGGTGTCCCTTGTAGGATTTAGGGGGTGCCCTGGTTTCTGGGAATCGCCTGCCTGCCACGCCCCGCACGCTTCGCGGACAAGACCTTCGAGAACCCAGAGGCGTGCTGATGTGTTGGGCTCGGTCATTCGTCTCAATGATGAGGAAACGCCACTGTCGTGACAGTGACAAGGCCCCGTCGTGACAGTGACAAGCCCCCGTCGTGACAGTGACAAGCCCCCGTCGTGACAGTGACAAGCCTTTGTCGTGACAGTGACAAGCCTGTGTCGTGACAGTGACAAGCCCCCGTCGTGACAGTGACATTTCCCTTTTGGTTTCCCGAACAGTGCCGTGAGTGAAAAAATACCTTGAGTGATGGTTTTGAACTTGTGGGACGGCTTGCAGAGGCATTTTCCAGTGACTGGCTTGGGTGCTGTCGTGTTTCCTCCCTCCCCCCTTTGCCTTATGTGTTTGTGTTTTTTCCTGCGCAGGTATTCACTTGGTCTTCTTCGCCTACGAGACTGACAACATCTAGGTATGGTCTGGGGCCGGGCTGGCGGGCTGGGTTGGTTTAATTTTTATAGTAATATATAAGGGGAAACTCTCGCCAATTTTTCCTGCCCTGTTTGGCGATTGGTGAGAGTTTCCTGATATATCTATATGAATATTGGTGTTTTCTAAATTTGATACACTATGGATTATCCCCTTAAAAACTAATATTTTCAAAATTTTAGAATTCCTATTTTTTAATGTGTTGTCGTTGGATGAACCTAGAAATTTCAAGTTTCAAGTCCAACCCCAAACTCAAAATCCTTAATCCGTCAAACTCACTAAGATTTCACAAATTAATTCGCTAGGTATTTTGTATAAATCTTCTTGCTTATGTATTGTTGGATTGTCTCCCCATTTTTCCTTGGTGCCAGATGGAAGCCGTTGTGCTGTTTCAATATGTTTATTATTCCTGATGTTGCCACAATCCTTTTTACATAATTCTCTAGGTTTCCAAGTTGTAATGTTATTCCAGAGCCTAGTGCGTTTTCTGTAAGGCATTCCATACTTACAGTAATCTACATCTTTAAAATCAAACTCATCCATAAACCTCTGATGTTTTAATAGTCCAGTTTGTGGATTTTCGATTACAAAATATGTAGGATTAAAATATTTGATAATCTCGATAGTTTTTAAGACAATACTATTTGCATATTCGATATTCCTAATTCCCCTAGTTTTTGCTACGCTGTATTCAGTGCATGGGGGACTACTCCAAATAAATCAAAATGGTTTCTGTCAAACTGTTTGTAATCCCATTCCAAAATATCAGTGTTGATATCAGCATTTTTCAAGTCTAATGATATCACATTAAATCCAAGCGACTTTGCTATGGTTCCGACGCTTTTTGTTCCGCTAAATAATTCTAATAAATTCATTTATTAGAATTATTTAGATATTAATTATTCAAATAATACATATACTCCATCATCATGTTTTGTAATTTTATAAAACTCTAATGTTTGTTGCTTTGGTTGTTTGATTTTTCCTGTATTCAACATATCGCAGTATTTCTTTTGCTTTGTAGGGTAGTCGCCCGATGGTCTTCCTATAGATTTTGCTTGAAATATCTTTTCGATTTTCTCCTTCTCTTCGTTGCTTTGTTGTTCGCGTTCAACTGGTTTCATTTTGTCATCAATGGATTTAATCATATCATTTAAGTTTTTGATATTTTACCAATTAATGTTATCTTCTTCATTAAATCATTAATAGTATAATTCTCATTTTCAGACATTACTATATATTTATTTAGATAATTATTTATGTAATTATATATTTATAAAGTGCAATTATGTTAAATCTACTCTTTAAATACTAACTTATGTCCCTGTTAAAACTAACATTAATCAAATGTTCGTTAGTTTCAATAACCATATCACCATCTGTTCTTTTCTGAATATTAAAATCTTTATCTGTTTTTTTATAAGAAAACATACATGGGACACAACTAACTTTAACTCCACCTTTCTTATCTACTGTCAATTCGTTTTTAAAATTCATTATGTGATTACATTTATCACATTTTATAGTCTTACTTTCGCCTAGTGATTTAACACTTTCTGCTGTTTCTTTCCGTGCTTCAATATCTGGTATTGGGCTTTCTTTGCTGTTACTCTTTTTCTTTTTTGCCATTTATATTAATATTAATATTTTTAATATATTGTATCAAACACTTAATTAATTCTAAAATAAAATAACATATTTTTTACATCTATTATCAGTTATGACAACCCGTTCTATATTTTCTACTTCATTTATTATATCAATATAATCTGTATAACTCCTTTTCATATAAAATAATAAGATAAATTATTTTTTCATTTCTGTATTTCTTTTCTTGTAAAGTTTTTCATTGTATCGTCTTTATTCCATCTATATTCCTCAAATGTCTGATGATGTTTTGAATTTAGATGTTTAAATAAATATTTGTCATCATAAGTTTTACCACAACTGCAATGGATAATAGTCATATAAATAATAAGATAAAATAGTTATTTAATCTTATTATTTTCATGCATAATAGAATATTGGTGGGGCACATCACTTGGGGTTTTCATTGCACACGCGAGCAAGACACAAAACTAATTAGCTTCAATGCTTATTGATTGACGTTGATGAAAGAGCCTGTTCTACTACGATAGACACCATTCATATCATAGCAATGCTTTCATACAATAAATAATATTAATTTATTTTCTAAATATGTTTAATATCAACTATATGACAGATGTTCCAATAATAAAACCAATAAACATAACTGAATATGAATTCAAGCAATCCAAATATGAGCACGTGCCAAAATTACCATTTAGAAGTATTATAGTTGCTTCTTCGACAGGCGGTAAGACTGTCCTTATTCAAAATTTAATATTGAATGTTTATAGAAATTCATTTGCAAGAATATTTATATTTTCACCCAGCGTCCATAACGACCCTACATTTACAGAAGTTAAAAAATACATCAGGGATGAATTGCACGTGGATGATGAAAAAGAACAAATTTATTTTGATAATTATAATCCAAGTGATTTAGAAAATGTAATCGAAAGACAGAAGAAAATAATTAGTTATATGAAATCTAAAAAGATAAAGAAACTGCATTCAATATTAATCGTGATAGATGACCACGCAGACGACCCTAAATTTGTTAGATATAGTAAATTATTACATGGATTATTTACAAGAGGCAGGCACGATGCAGTAAGTGTGATTTGTTCAACACAAAAATACAATGTTTTAGCGCCTATCATTCGTTTGAATGCCAGTTCATTATATATTTTTAGGTTGAAAAATGCCAGTGAGCTAATGAGTTTTATTGAAGAAAATAGCGCCATTGTTGATAAACAGCAATTATTAGATATGTATCATCAAGCAGTGAATTTTGCTCCATATTCTTTTTTCTACGTGAATATGACTTCAAAAGACATTAACAACATGTTTCATATCAATTTTGAACAGGCATTTCAAATTACAAATGATGAATAAAGATATTCTAATTTAATATAATATATTAATATGGTTATAAAACAATGTAAATGCGGTGGATTTTATCGTAGAGGTAATTATAATTTTCATACTAATTCTTGGATACATAAACTTTATAAGGTATTGAAAAGAAGGGCAACAGACGAGGAATTATTACGATTTCAAAATAATTTTGTTGATGAAGACGCTTCGCCAGAGGCTCGCGAGCTTCGCGACGATTTAATAGATGATATGTGTAGCAACGCCTCAACAAAATTACCCGAAAGTGAAATGACAGATTATGATAGCAATTAATAATATTAATTATGTTTTAATATTATTAATTCAACATAAAGAATAACTGCATAAATTCAAAGCAGGTAATTTATAATATTTTATCTTTTTTACATTCATTAACTTTTTCTAATTTATTGATTATTGCTTTCAATGAATTTATTTGTAGAATATCAATTCTTGACATTTCACTTATCGTATTTACATCTATATCTTTTATTACTTTAATAGCCTCTTCATCATCAATTTCTACTGGTTTTGATTTACTTGAACCCATTATATATATATATAATATTATTTAGATTTTAATTTGTCAAAATTGAAATGTTGGTTTTCTTCTTCTTCTTCGTCTT